AGGGCTGTGGCGCTAGCGGGCTGCGTGCTGAGAGCGGCTTGCGTTTCGCGGGCTAGCTCTGGTGCGCTGTGGGCGCACGCACGGCGGTGCGCACTGGCACTAGGCAGGAGGGCAACTTTGCGGCAGGTTGGGCAGTGCGGGCACCATTTTATAACGGTTCGCGTGTCTACCCGGCAACCCGTCTGGTCGACCCGAACCCGACCCGTTTTTAAACGGTTCAATTTCTGGAACCCGAACCCAGCCGTTTTGAAATCGAGTCGGGTCAAACCCGAAATTTCCGAGTTAGGTTCGAGTCGGGTCTTTGTGTCGTGTCAAATATTGACACCCCTATCATTAAGGAATTATTTCAATCATATGTATATAATATTATTTGAAAATAAAAAAAAATTGCTCATGACTACTCATTCAAATCTTCTTACATTAATGTAAGAGCAAAATATGCATATAAAAAGAACTATAAATGATGTTTCTTTATTTTTCGAGCGAAATATAATTATATAAGGATAGGTATTTTAACAGTAGTTTCATCAAAATGAACTTTTGTTACATGCTAATAAATTTGAGTCAGTGGAATGTACATTTCACGTGTATATAAAAATTTGATACGCACAAGTAAAATAATTAAGACTAGAAAACTGAAAAGGGGATAAAAGCACAATGTCTGGCCCAGTATAAAAATTCATTATATAGTGGTGATATAAAATCATCCATTCCTCACAGTTGAAGATATGATTAGTACTGAGAACAAATATCTGAAATTTTTTTCTATGAGGATTATAAAATTAAGTGTCCATAAGTAGACAGTTAACACCAATAACAGAGCTTGATTTCTCTATAAAATTACAAAAGTATGATGTTCATAAGTAGATAGTTAATACCTAATAATGAGGTTAAATCTTGATAGGAATCTGGAGATGACGTCGATTGCTAGCGGTGGTATTCGACAAAGCTAGAAAATGCTAGAGAGTTCTTAATTCTCATAGCTAGGGTGTCAATATTTGACACGACACGAAAACCCGACCCAAACGAAAATCAGGTCGGGTTCAGGTTCATGAATTTGACCCGTTTGAAAAACGCGGTCGAGTTCGGGTTGACCCGGCGGGTTGCCGGGTCCACCCGCCAACCCTTTTGAACAGACCTGCTCGCGACCCTGCCCGCTGCCCGCGACCCTGCCCCGGCTGGCCGCCCAGGTGCACGCCGTCCGTCAAGCGTAATGAGGCCGCCCGCGCGTACGCACCCGCTCGCCCGACTCACCGGCGCCGCACCGCGCCCGCTCGCCTCGCGCCTGCTGCCCGCGCGCACCCATGCACTCGTCCGTTGCGTCCGTGTCGGTCAACCGGCAACCTGCCGGGTTCGTGAGGTTCGGATTTCCGACCCGTTTTCCTACCCGGGATCGGATGTTAAAGTCGACTTCTGAACCCGGGTCAATTTTCGGGTTCAAACACCAACACCAACACCGTACCCAGAAATTGACACCCCTACTCATAGCTATTGGGTCTCTCCCTTCATGTATAGAATAAGTTCAATTTATAGCTTTTTTAGATTAACATTTGAATAATTAAATTAAAATCCAAAAACTCCATGACATGGTTCATATCCATTCTCCTTGATTTGAAGTGTTTTTTTTTAGTATTTAAGTGCCTTAATGATGTTGAAATTGAGTGACCTTGAGCTTGTTGGATTTATCTCGTTCGAGCGGCTAGAATGATCATAAACACGTAAAATGAATGTGCATATGATCAAGATTTTAATTTCAAAAATTGCCTCGAGATTCATGCAAATCATATGAATTTTTTAGAGTCATATCAATTTTAAAACACAAATGGCCGAAATAAATATAAATAGAAATATTTGAACAAATACATGCATTAATATGAGACATATTATTCATTTTATCATTTCAATTTGAAAAATTACTTATAGAAATCAAAATCGATTATTTAAAATAGAGCAATACCTAATTGATGAACAACAATAAATATAATATATATATATATATATATATATATATATATATATATATATATCTGTGTTAAAACCAAATTTATTTTTATATTTATGTAAAATTAAATTCAAATTATATACATTTCATCAATCAAATTATAAAAGTATACATTTTATTTAATTAAAATAATTATATTTTATTTATATAATATCATATTTGATTATTTAATAAATTAATACTTAACCAGCAAAAGATAAATGGGATTTATAATTCTTAAATATATATTATAGATACACACACACACGATCTTCTAATTTTTAAATTATATTAATTTTTATTTAATATTAACTCATTTAAAGCGTGTTATACAATTTCAAGCATATATTTTAATATGATTTAGATATTATGTGCTATATTAATAAATATTAAATTCTAGTTATTTAAAATATAAATAAATAAAAAATTTTGTGATATGTATATTATAATAGTTTTTTAAAGTTAATAAAAAAATACGGAAGAATAATTTGTTATGCCCAAAACTATTAAAGTGTTATTAATATAAATAAAATTAATGATAGAAAAAAATTACATAGACAACATTCAAAATCTATTTATTTATATAAATGCCCTCAAAGATGATTAATAATTTGGCGGACCCCGGGCTTTTCAAGTCCGAACTTCCTGCCAAGGAATCTAAACCTCGTCGAGGAAGACAATCGAATGCAAATGACTAGGAATGCTACCCCCAGAAGAAAATGAGCGGAGGAGGCCTCGTCGATTTAAATCCTAAAGCCGTTGCCATTCGCAGGCCATCACTTCATTCTATTATCGGGCCTGTCCTTTGTTCCCAGGTATTCATCAGATTCTCAGCTTTCGATTCTATCCTGTTTCATTCCTCTTCGTCATTTTTTCACTGAATTGTGATTTTTATGTCTTTCTTCACATATGCGTTTCATTTCTGCTGCAACTTGTGGGATTAGTGAGTTCATTGTTTGAATTCTCTATTTTTTGCGGCTTGGGGCTTGTCTGCTGATATCCTGTTTTATAAGAGACACATATGACCAGTTTAGCTGGTAAAATTGGGAGTTTTTGGGGCTGATCAATGTTTTGGAGTAGATGTGTTGAGGATTTGGATAGCCGTTGTTAGTCTGATGTCAGTTGTAGATTGTACTGTTTGGATGTTTGTTTCTTTATTCAAGATTTTTAAGGGTAAACTCCTTAAATATGTTAAATCTCGTGAATGGTGGGATTTAAAAAATATTATATGTACCCCAAAACAAGGCTAAAATAAGATTGATTAAAATAGTATGATTTAAAATACCCAAAGTTCTATTTGACAGGATTTAAGTTAAGTCTTTCTTAAATTTTGCCTAAAAAAGGACACCATACAACCCCTTAGTAGGATTTATGTGAGATTTGGCCTAAATTTTCCCAAACCATTATAAGTGATTTTTAAATCCCGCCAAAAGTGAATATTGGATTTAGCAAAATTTGATAAATCTTGGATCAAATTCAGGATTTATCAAATCCTAGTAATACTGGGATTTATGAAATTTACATCAATGCAATTTGCTAATTTTCCTTAAATCCTCTAAATTGTTTTATATGAACCAAAAAAGCTTGAGGTTTGATTGGATTTAAGAATTGGGCAACCAAACAGTTCTATAATTACCAAATTCTATTAAATCCTACTTGAATTGGATTTGTCAAATCCAGATTTACAAAAAATCTACCTTTAACCAAACTGGTCCTATGGTTGTTGGACAATTAGCTTGATTAAAGGGTTGGATAAACCATTTTCTTCAGTCCCTTGAGATTTTCTTGTGATTTACAATTTCTATACTAGTAGTGAGTAATTGCATTTGTATAAAAGAGTTTGCCTATTTCTTTCTGTTAAGCCACTTGTTGGCAAGTCTTTTCCTTTTATTGGAATTGATCAGTCATCTTTCACACACTTGTTTTACACTCATTTGTATAGAGAAAGTAAAATTTTCCACTTATAATTAGAAAATTTAAAAGATTTAGGATCAATGGATTTAAACAAAATGTTAGTGCACAATTTTTTCATAAATTGTATTGCAATCTATGAAATAAGGGTGGACAATCAATAAATTGCCCTAACAATAAAATAAATCTCAAACTATGTGCGCAATTAGGATTTTAACAATTGCCAAATAGGAGAGCTAGGTGTATGATACATGTTAAATCTCAGTCGTCCCTTGACACTTGATCCCATAGCCAGGATCGGGATCCATGAGAGGCTAATTGGATCATGTCAATCTCCTTCCATATTTGGGTGTCTGATTTAGGAAGAATTATATTAGGGCAATTATGCATGATTCAATTATTTATTTCTTTATTAAGATATCTTGTATGGCTATATAAATAGGGATAATTTTGTGCAATAAATCAAGTCTTTTCTCTATCCAATTATATCTGAATTTAACATGGTATCAGAGCATAAGGAGATATATATCCTTGAGTCCCACCACAGGCCTTTATTATGGTTGTCGTTGCCAGATCTTCTTGAGTATAGAGAGGATGAACCTTGGCGTCTTCGATTCCTGAATCATAGGAAGTGGAGAGGAGCAAGCGGCCTTCATTTTGAATGGGGTCAAGCCTCTTTTGCATGCATTCTTGCCTATTCAGAAGCAGAATCAAGCATATGAGTATTTTTCGTGCATGTGCTTGGGAAGGGCCAAACTCCTGCAAGGGACTAAGAACTTAGCAATCCTTATTTCCGTACCTGTGACCTCCCTTGTGCACATACGGGACAAGAGAGGGAGCGAGTTCGACTGAGTTGGTGAAGTATTCTCGCGTGCTTAGGAGTTAAATCAAACGTTTGGAAGCAGAAGTCTCTCTGTTTGCATCTAAAAGGAAGAATCAAGGTTTCCTCTGGTGCCATGCCTTCATTGCTAGCTTTCTAGTGTTGTTGCTACTACTCCTATAACCAAACAACCTTCATTGCTGCCCTGCACCTTCCTAGTTTGATTAATATAACCTTCATCAGTACTTTTGCCACCGCAATGTCTGAAGTTAATTCCTCCCAAAGTCTTATGGAGGACTCGATGGTGTACCAAGGAAGATGAGATCTCTAAAATATGCAACAGTCCAATCGCTTAAATGAGAAGAATTACTTGAAGTGGTCTCAATTTGTGAAGACATACTTGAAAGGGGAAGAAAAGATGAATAAACTATTTGGGGTAGGAACAAAATAAGAAGATCCTCATTTTTGGGCATGTAATGAAGTAGACTCCATGATCATATCATAGTTGTGAAATTTCATGACTCCAAAAATTAGTGGTACTTTCATGTTCCTATCTACTGTAACAGACATATGGGATGCCGTTGAACAAATCTTCTCAAAAACTTGGGATGCTACACATATTTTTGAAATTAAAGTTAAAGTGAGAAGCACAAAACTAGGAAGAAAGGTTGTGACTGAATATGCCACACTCTCAAAGTTTGTGGCAAGATCTTGATCACTACAGATGCATAGAGACCAAGTGTCCGGAAGATGTACAACAACAACAACAACAACAACATTAAGCCTTTATCCCACTACGTGGGGTTGGCTACATGAATCCTTTTTCTCCATTGTCCTATTAAAAGTCAAATTTCTCGTTAATCTAATAAAGAAAGGTCATTCCTAATATTTTCTAACCAAAAAGTCTTTTTAGGTCTACCCCTACTTTTCTAACATAAGTCAATCTAATACCTCTATACTCTCCTAACGCGGGTCATCGCAAGGCCGTCGTTTTATGTGACCAAACCATCTAAGGCGATCCTCTCTAATCTATCTTCTACTGGAGCTACTCTAACCTTTTCACGATAATGCTCATTTCGTATCCTATCTCTAAGGGTAAAGCCACTCATCCACTCTGAGTATCTCATCTCCGCCACAACTTAACTTAGTTTATGCTTCTCTTTTAATGGCCAACATTCGGCACCATAAAGATGGCAGGCCTCACACCATCTTATAGAATTTCCCTTAAGTTTGAGGGGTCATTTCTATCACATAACAAGTCCGATGCTTCCTCCACTTCAACCATCCAACTTGAATTCTGTTGATAATATCCCCATCTATTTCACCATCACTCTGAACAATAGATCCAAGATATCTAAAACGTGTACTCTTATTAATGACTTGATCGCCCAAAGTCACAATCCCCTCACTAGGTCTATTACTACTAAAATTACACTCCATATATTCCGTTTTTGATCTACTCAAGCGAAAACCTTTAGTCTCTAATGTTGACCTCCATAATTCAAGTTTACCTTCAACTCCCTATCTAGTCTTATCAACAAGAAGAATATCATCAGCAAAAAGCATACACCAAGGTACATCCTCTTGCAAATGTCTAGTGAGAACATCCATGACTAAAGCAAAAAGATATGGGCTTAAGGCTGATCCTTGATGTAACCCAACCGAAATAGGAAAATACTTGGTCAATCCACCTTGTGTTTGAACACAAGTAATAGCTCCTGCATACATATCTTTAATGATTTGAATATAAGCATTATTGACTCCTTTCTTTTCAAGAACTCTCCATAGCACTTCTCTTGGAACTTTATCATATGCTTTTTCTAAATCAATAAATATCAAGTGTCCAGAAGATGTAATTATCCTAAAATGCTTTATTGACAAATTTAGAGCGTATGAATTTCTTGTAGGATTAAATACGGAGTTTGATCAAGTTAGAGTTCAAATCTTTGGCAAAGAGGGGACATATTCACTAAATGCGATCATTTCTCTCATTCGTGTTGAGGAAAGCCGGCGCAGGGTAATGTTGAAACCAAAGGTTGTTGAAGGTTCAACAATGATGACTACCAAAGAGGCGTTCATGGAAGGAAATAGGTAAGGATTCCCCAAAATCTAAAGACAAAGACTCTCTTTGGTGAAACTATTGCAAGAAACCAAGACACACAAAGGTGACATGCTTGAAGTTACATAGAAAGCCTTAAAGTAAGAAGCTCTGTTTAAAATTAAGCAACGAGAGGCGCGCCTTTGCGCAATTCTTCCCAAAGGCGCCTCGAGGCGCACACAATTTGGAGCTTGAATGAGGCGTACGCCTCACCCTGTGTGAGGCGCACCTCAATGGCACAATTGCGCAATAATGGGTGAGGCGTACGCCTCACCCGTTGGCCCCACCCTACTTAAAATGACTCATTTTTTTCCCTACACTCGTTCGTCCCAGGCTTTTCCCGATAAAGCTCCGCCCGCAAGCTCCTGTTCGAGAAACAAAGCCCCTCCCGCATGGTCGGCCACCCTTCCCGCCGCCTCTCCCGCCGGCGCCGCCTCTCTCTGGCGAACTTGAAGTGTCCGGCCGCCTTGTAGGAGAAGTCCACAAACGATTTTATGTATTTTTTTTTAGTTTTTGGTTAGATTTTTGAAGTGAAAGAAATTCTAAGGTTTTAGATTTTTTTGAATTATTTTGTGTGATTTTTTATTCTTTCATTAGGGATCATGGTTATTTTGTGTGATTTTCGATTTTCATATATCATTTAGATGTTTTTATTGTAAGGTACAATATTGCTATTATTTTCCTGCTATAATCCTTAATTTTTAATTTACGCAATTCTGTGTCCGTGAGGCTTACGCCTCAGACCGCCTCGAGGCTTACGCCTCGCCTCACGGACAAAAACCGCCTCGAGGCTTATTTACGCAATTTTAAACCTTGGTAAGAAGTGAAACCAAAGAAGTGGTTAAAAGGGGACATCATAAGCTAACACCCATAAATGATGTGCAGCTTCAGAGAGCTCAATATAGAAGATATTGGTAAGCTAAAACAACTCATGATATTCCTTGAAAAACCACCTTCATCTTCTTCTCTTGCACTTTCAGGTAAGT